ATATAATACTTTTAGACTATTCTCTCCCCCATAGAATGAGTTCTTTTTTAAAAAATGATTTTATTATTTTTATGTGTGTACCATCAAATTGGATCTGACTGGTCCAGGAGGAGATTGCCGCTCCTACTCTAGCAGAGCATCTTGTGGATTTGAACTGTGTGCCTTTGGGGTTGCAGGGCAGCTTCTTGCCACTAGGCCACCAGAGCTCCCTGATTTCTTTTTCTAATGGCTGACATGATACCTGATAATATTCTTGAAGAAGGTGAGATGAAGTTTCACTATTCTTGCCTCTAAGGAACACTTGGTTACACTTCCTCCAAGACAGATCTGTTCTTTTGATAGTTCAGGGTTTACGGCCTACTGTTCATCAGTACCATAATTCAAAGGGCTAAATGCGTTGGTCTTCCTGTTATCCAACTTTTAGATCCACAAGAAGCAAGTGAAAATACTGTGGCTTGAATCTGTAATCTTATATTTTTGCTTATTAGCACTTTAAAGAGGCTGTGGGTAGCAACACAATATGTCTTTTGATTTCTTGACTGCTACTAACTTTCTTCCCAGCTAATACTGATCTTCAGTTCAATCTTTCAGAAGGGAAATAAGTATGAGAAAGATAATGTTGATTGTGGACCCAAGTAAAATGAAATTGTTGACATCTTCGGGTTTTTTCCTCCATCTGTTTTAGTGATGCCGATTAGTACAGCGGTCAGGGAGTTTTCTTTTCTTCATTTTGAGTTTAATCCATATTGAAGTCTTTGATCTTTTTTAGTAAGGGTGCCAAGTCATCTTCAGTTTTTGCACACAAGGTTTTGGCATCTATATCATCTAGTTTGTTGATAAGTGTTCTTCTAATCCAGATGTGAAATTCTTCATATAGTCCAATTTCTCATATTATTTGCTCAGCATACAAACAGAATTAGATGGTAAATGAACTAGTATAATCCAAATTTAATAGTCCTGTCCTCCCCAGTTATTTAAAATATGTATTTTAAAACTTCATTTTGATTATTTTCACCTGCCTGATCTTTAGGTTGATAATCAATTATTATGACTACCAGTTTGTAAAAGTAAATTGTTAATTTCCTATATGGACACATCCTTTAGCTACAGATACATTCCAGTTAACTTTAAATTATCCCTCCTCTAACCCCAACCCCCTAAAATGTTTCATAAATCTGTGCTACTTGCATGTTTGTACTAAAGTTCAATATCACCACCTGGACTGCACTGTGGTTTTCTTGATGGTATGACTTTTTCTCCATTCATTATCCTTTTCAAGTCATCCATCACATTGGAATGAAATGATTTTTCGGTAACTCTATTTATAATAAGGAGCCATGGCAATGTAGTGTGTTACATGCTGGGTTGCTAGCTAAAAGGTCACTAGTTCAAATCCACCAGCTGCTCCAAGAGAGAAATAGGGGGCAAGTCTGGTCCCATTAAAATTTACAGCCTGAGAAACCTGATGGAGGGTTGCTGTGAGTGACAGTTGACTTTTTAACGATGGCTATAATGGTCTTTTAAGAATTTCTAGTGGTGCTTCCTTCCTTATTTTATTTAGTATTGGGTGAAAAGGTTTTCACCAAAAGCAAAGCTGAAATTAACACAGCAGAAGGATAACTACTGTTTAAAGATGTTGTGTGGTTTTTTAATCTTACTGATTGTATACTTTATATTGTTGAATATATCATCACTTTTTCCATTTAAACTTCTAGCATGGAAATTTCTTTGATTAAGAAGAATGAAGGCCTGACGTGGCCCGAGTTGATAGCTGGAGATAAACGAGGAGAATTCCTTCGGGATCCAGCCCAGTGTGCTGCAGTATCTGAGCGCTTGATGCATTTGACCTCTGAAGCACTGGTAAGCAACTGAAGTGTGTTACGTGAAAATTTTGCCATGTTCTTCCAACTTTATTTTGCCTTTCTTGTTTTAGAAAACATAGACCAGGGCCCACTGACCTGATGTTTGAATATATAGCTTAGAACTCCCAGCAGTTTAATTTCAGAGATTCTCTGAGGCCAGTACATTAAATTCTCAGTAAACTTGGCTCTTTTGCCAAAACAGATGTGCGAATATTTGAGCAGTTGTTTTAGGACCACATTTCTGGCATACATATTTGTGTATTTGTGTGCATAGTTTATTGCCTTATTACTATGATCCTTTTTCCTCCCTTGAGGAATATAAATACTATGCAGAAGTTCTTGTATGTTAAGCAGTGGAGCTTACTGAATTACTTTTATGATTCTTTTTTTATCTCGGCTTTTGACTTATTAGCTACATCTCAGTTTTTGTTTGTTTATGTTTGTATTTGTGTTTAGCACTTTTATAGTTTACTGTATAGATAATTATTCACTAGCTTCAAAGAGTATATATTACTTCAGTTATAATGTTAAGACCTGTTTGTTTTGCAAACATTCTGTGGGATTTTTGGGTTTGTAGAATTTTAATTTGCAGCCAATTTAAAAAAATGTCAGCCAGCCATTATTTCTTGAAATTTATTCCCTGTTTTCTCTCTTCCAATTATCTATATGTTAGACCTTTAATATCATTTAAAAAAAATGGCATTAAGTTTTTTTTTTGCTTGATTGGGTTTCCCCCCTTCAGTTGCTCCACATATTTAATTTTATGTTGCTTCTTTTCCATCTTCTGTGATGTCTAATTAGCTATATATGTCATCTTTTAAAATTTTTGTTTCATATACTATGTTTTCATATCTACATATTTAGATTTATGTATATTTTATCATTTTATATATCGTTTATTTTTTGTGATCAGATGAAATGTATAATGTTGTTGTTGTTGTTCTTATGTGCAGTCGAGTCGCTTGCAACTCATAGTGACCCTATGTACAACAGCCCTAAACTCTGCTCTGTCCTGTGCCAATCGCACTGTCTCTGATACACCCATCTCGATTACCCCAGTCACTGAATCAATCCACCTCATGGAGGGCCTTCCCCTCCTGCGCTGTCCCTCCACCCTCCCAAGCATGATGTCCCTCTCCAAGGACCGGTCTCTCCTTACAACATGTCCAAAGTATGTTACACTGAGCCTCAGAATCCTTGCCTCCAAGGAGCTGCCCGGTTTAACCCTTTCCAGGATGAATCTGTTGTTCTCCTAGCAGTCCATGGTATTCTCAATACTCTTCTCCAGCACCACAGCTCAAAGGCATCAATTCTCCTTCTATCTTCCTTAGAAATTAAAATGTATAATAGCCTTTTTTGATGTTCTATTTTTAACTATTACTGTTCCGTTATTTCTGCTCTTCTTTTAGATATGATTTCGTTGATTTGGGGTCTAAAATTTAATTACTGTTGTAATCTCAGCATTTCTAAGTGTAAGGAAATCAATTTATTTTTTCATCCTTTATTTATTTACTCTATTTTCTGTTTTAAGAATCCAAACCCCGATAAAGAAAAACCTCCCTGTAATGCTCAAGAGTTAGAGGAGTGTGATCTTTTTTTTGAAGAGAGCTCCAGTTTATGCAGATTTGATGGCAATACATTAAAAACTACTCATGTGGTAAGTTCTTGGTAATTAAAGTCCTTAAACAAATTTTTTTATTAAATAAATTTGAATTCCTTCAATGAGATGACTGAATAACTGGCTACATGGTTTGCAAAGATACTTTCGATCACAATCTAGTGGCTTGATTTAGAATTATTTTCTGTCAAAGCTCAGTTGTATGTATCTTTTAACCTAAAGGTTGGCTGTTCAGACCAACCCAGTGGTCCTATCAAGATCCAGCATTCTACTTCTAAAATATGACAGCCAGAAAAACCCTAGACAGCAGCTCTGCTTTGGAACACTTGGGTCTTCCATGACTTGAAATCAGGTCAACATTAGTAGATTTGGTTTTGTGAGGTTTTTGATACTTAATAAAGTGGCATGTTTTCATAACCCTATCTGCCAATGAAACAATATTAATACTGAATTATTAATACTATATGTTGATGTATTGGCTTGTGGATGTGTCTGTGTGTGGAGCTTTCTTCCTTTCTACAGTTGTGATCCTGCAAATTGTATGACTTTAAAATCCTTTTTTTCCTTTCAACATTAGTACATAAACATTTCCTCGTGTTCAGATCTCTGTTGGAATGCTAGGATAATCCTGTGTTGATTTTCTATGTGTATCTGTGCATTTTTTAGGTGTTTTCCTAAAGATTATAGTATGCATGTTTAACTGCATTTTCTTGTTACTTCTTTCATTGTGATACTTTCTTTAATTGTGATTTTGGTTAAGATTTACAAAGATGATGATTTTTCTATCCCTTTGTTATGTGAAGCTTTTTCTATATTCCTAGGTAGTTATCTGAAAAAGAATTACAGAAGTCAAATTAATTAATAACTCATTAAACACTTTAGTTTGATCTTTGCTAATTGGTATATACCATATCTTGTTTTAATGCATGTTTTATGCTATTGAATTTTTCATATATTCTTAATTTGTGTTAGTTTAATCTTTGTGTCATACTGTTTTTTACTAATTTGTGTAATTAGTTCATGCATATAATGGTGACATCGTTGTTGGTAGATATAATTGAGTTGATTTTGATTCATAGCCGCCCTTTGTGACAGAGAGGAACTTCCCCATAGTGTTTGATAGATTGTAATCTACAGGGAACAGATCACCAGATTTTTTCTCAAAAGGAACTGCTGGCATTGTTAAGGATGCCAACCTTTTGACTAACGGTACAACACCTTTTGACTGAAAGTATAACACTTAATCAGTTGAACTACTAGAGTTCCTTTTTCTTATTGTTTTAAATTAGTTTTTTTTTCTCATAATATATTGGTAATTTTTTTCTAAAAGAAAACCCAACAAAAAACTGCTCGAAGTTTAAAGCTTGAAACCAGATAAATTTCTATCCCCGCTTTGCCACTTCTAATTTCAATTACTTTGAACAATTTACCAGATTATGCTAAGTGTCCATTTCCTCCACTGTAAAATAGCAAAAATAATACCTACCGATCACCAATATCAGATGGTTCTTGTCTGAAAATGAAATGTACCAGAGGAATGTCTGTCAATGTTTCATTGACTCTGCAAAGGTTTTGACTGTATGGATCACAACAAATTGTGGCTAACCTTGAGAAGAATGAGAATTCCAGAATGCTTGATTGCACTCGTGTGAAACCTACACTTTGACAAGGAAGCAGTCATCAACACAGAACAAAGAAACACTGCATGGTTCAAAATCAGGAAAGGAGTGCATCAGGGCTGCATCCTGTCTCCATAACTTTTCAACCTAAATGCAGAACATGTCTTTCAGGAGGCTGGACTTTATGAGGAGGAATGTGGCATCAGTCTGGAGACTAAGGTACACCTGATTCAGGCCGTGGTCTTCACAGTTACTTGCTATGCATCAGAGAGCTGGACAGTGAACAAAGATGACAGAAGAAGAATAATGCCTTTCAGTTGTGGTGCTGGACAAAAGTATTGCACTGTCAGGAGACCAAACATGGACAAAAACCATAGACTGTCAAGAGAACAAACAGGCTTATCTTTCAGAGAGTGAGACCAGGCTGCTCCTTGGAGTAAAGGATTTTGAAGCTCCATCTCACATACTTTGGACATGTGGCTAGGAGAATCCAGTCCCTGGAAAAGGACATCATGCTTGCGAGCATGGAGGGACAGCAGAGGAGAGGAAGGCCTCAGATGAGATGGATTGACACAGTAACTGAGATAATTGGGATAGGTGTGTCAGAGATAGTGAGACTGGCTAAGGATATAGCAGAGTTCAGAGTTATAAGGTTATTATGAGTTGTGTTTGACTTGATGTTACATAACAACAATAACCATTTACTGTTATTTAGTTAATGATATTTGCCAGCTAATAAAAGCTTATTAAATATTAACCACCAATAATTTTTAAAATTATATGTATTTTACACATATTACTGTTGTTGTGTACTATCTAGTTGGAACCAACCCATAGCTGACCCGCCAGCAGGTTTCAGAGGCAGTACATCGCTTGCCCATCCTTCTCCTGTAGAGCAGCTGGTGGATTCGAATTGCATACCTTTTCATTGACAAAACAGTTCCTTACCAACCAAGCTATTTTTATATAGCCCATAAATAATCCAAGAAGTAATGAAAGAGAATTACAACAAAACTTTCTTCGCTGATAAATTACTGTGTGACAGCCACATTAACCTACTCATAAAACCTTACAAATTGTAAAGTTTTATTCAAAGTTGTAAACATTCTCTTAGGCCCCAAATTCTTGGAGAAAAAGTAACAAAACTGAACAAAGTATGCCTAGTGTTCCTTCCTGCACATAAAAACCAGCAGTCACTTTAATCCCTACACCATGTTTATTCCCTAGGGATCCAGAGAGTAAGTGTCCTACCAATCAATCTTCCCTATGTCATGTCAGAGAGAGCAATGTCAGGAATGAGGAGGGAATTTACTGGATAGAGAACTTCTTTCCCAACTGTGAGGAAACTCTAACTCTGTAGAGCTCCCTGTATTTTGGCTTCCTCGTTTTCTAGGTGGATTAACCTTCTGTCAGGTTAGATGAGATTAGAGATAGAGCCAGTATTAGAAACTAGAGGTGTGCATGTCTAGTATTCTTTTCCATACTTTTCCTTGAACCACCAGGATTCTAAGCTTTGGTGACATAGTCTGTAGAGCATTGTATTGCTAACCCAAAAACTGCATCTCTGGCAATTCAGCGCAGAAGTAATTCCACAGGAGGCAGATGAGTGGTCTCTTCTCATTTCAGTTTACATGCTCAGAACCCCATTGGAGGGCTGCTGTGGGCGGGAGCTAAGTCCATAGCAGTGAGTACATCACTAATTTCTCTACTTCTGAACAAAATATATTCTTCAGGAACATTAAAATAGACTTCTGTGTTCTAAGCATTTTCTAGCGTCATAAGGTTAAGAA